GGTGTACTCGAAGCCGTTTCACCTTGGAATTGATGTGTTGTAGCTCTCGAATATATCCACTCGAGAAAGTTTCCCGCGAAACCTAACTTTGGAATGTAGAAAGCAATTTGGTCAAGTGGAGTGACCCAAAAGTGGTGACTTGACCTCTTTTTATAGGAAACCTACAAAATGCAACCACATAACAGCAAACGGTGCCATGTCAATCAATGTTTTCATTTTTTCGACCATAGCCAAATGGTTAGCTATTTACTTTAGCTCAACGCCTAAATCGTTGCATCCTATCAAAAACTTCAATGCTGGTTTCTGAACCGTGGTTTTTTCTGACTTCCATGGGATCTAGTCCCAATCATGCTATCCAGTGGATTAGATCCTATATGATGCCTGCGATAGCGCTCTTCTTGGCAACCACATACCAGGGGATTATTTCATAAATAGGTAGCCTTGATTATTTGGTCCATTACTGGAACCTTTCGGGTGGCTAATTTCAAAATGTCAAAAAGAAAATGGACGTATCAAATAGACTTACCTGGCTTTGACTTTGAAGTCGGTTTCCCAGTGTGAAATCTCCGCTTCCTTTCTCAGAGTTCTCCGCTTCCTCTCTCAGAATAAACGGGGCAGACAACAGCTTGGGTTGTTCTAATTTCAGTTAGTGTAGAAGTGATTAAGAAAGCTATCAGGTATGAACACGAAAGACTAATTCATCATCCCCCACCAGGAATTGCCGTCTACATCCTACATACGTCTTTGTGGCCTAACTCCTCAACCTTAGATGCGGTCCCAGTGGGAACCTCATAACTAGATATGATTCTGTGCCTTTGAAGTTGCTAGAACCTTCGAAAAGAAATCTTTTAATCCGAGAAATCTTTACAAAAAAGTACTGAATCGAAAGAATTCCCAAAGTCCTGAACGTTTCTATTCAGGAGCATCGCCCTCTTTGGCCTCTTGCGAAAGGAATGTCGTGTTCGACAGCAGCCTCGAAGAGAAGGAAGTCTGTTTAGAGCCTCTACACTGCTCTGTACAGTTTGATCACAACATTCTTAAGGTATGCACACTGTATGAGGAGATCGGACCAGGAAACTGCACTTCTCCATCCCTTCGGTACCAATTTCGTTCTGTGAACGTTGAGGTAACCTTGTACTCATTACTGTGGTGGACCAGAAATTTCCATATGTGAACATTTTTTGAACGAAGTTTCCGACAGACCTTTGGACATTTCAGTGGAATTACTTCTGCGGAAGCGCAAAGACCATTAAGAACTCGATTTCGATGCAAATGATTGGCGTGCTGATTGGTTCAGCAATGTTCGGTCAAATCAGCGACTCGTTCGGTAGACGAAAGGTAAATTCTCGAGAGGAAATGATTGCGCACACATGACATTGATGGCAAGTAGCCAATTTCCAGAGCATGCTAGTGACTATGGCAGGGATGGCTATCGGTTGGATTTTGGTAGCAAAATCCTACGACCTTACCCTTTTCACTGTGAGTCGCACTGCTGTCGGATTCTTCACTGGCGGAAGCATTTCGTGAGTCCTGAGAAAGACCTTTTCGGTTCTGTGATATTTCGATCAATACAGGGTTTTGAACGTTTTCATCATGGAGAATATCCCCAAGAAGCATCGGATGTGGATCAACATGGCGATTACCTGGTCACCCAACATGCTACCTCTAGCGGCTATGGCATGGGCGACGGGTGACTGGCGCTCGTTAGCTTTACTCAACGCCATCGTCTGTGTTCCTGGCCTCTTATTTTGTTTGTGAGTAGGTCGGAGTTGGTCGAAAGGACGGAATTGCAGGGAATCGAAGGGTTTTGTATAGAAGTGAAGTTTTAGCCTATGCATTCATGAATCGCCGCGATGGTTGATCCACTGCGGCAAGATCGCCGAAGCACAGGAGATCATGCGGCGCGAGTTCGGTAGCTCCAAGGAAGAAACTGTCAACGATACGTTGCACAAGGCCGTCAGAAACGAGTACGAGGTGAGGCGAATTGAAAACGTCACCTTGGGGACTTGTTTGATGAAAAGGCTCTCAAACTCTTTGACTCGGGTTTTAAATTATGTCCCCTTCCTTACTCAAGATGAGAACATCCAGCAATCCTCTCCTTACAAAGAGTAAAGGACTATTAAACAAATAAAACTGACATGGCGATTTTATTGTAATCAGAATTACCAGGCCTTTTCTGGTCAATTGACTTTCTGGTTCTTGAAATAGTTAGGCATCATCGGATTAGTAATTCGAGAGCTTACTTTGGTATGTCATATTGCTAAGCTACCGTAAAGATGCCATCATGAAGTATGGAGGAGTAGTGATAGAGTAATGGGTTGACACTACAGCAATACCCAACATCTGAGCAAATCCAAAATGTACAGTATTAGAAGCACTCATTCTCTTCTTGTCATGTAATGTTTATGACGATCCAAGACTATTGTATCAAGGCGGAGTGATCAGATTTCAAAAAAAAGTCAAGTTCGAAATCTAAGGTCCCTAATTGGGTAAAATTCTCTTCAAGAAATTAGTCGTAAGTGTGAGTAACTTCGAGCCCAATGCCTTTTCATCTGCGCTATTTTTTTCCAGATGATGCTTCGAGCTGACTCCCAGAAGCGTCGCTATTCATTCTGCCACCTGTTCTACACCCCGAAACTCGCTATTACCACTATTGTACTCGCGTTTAGCTAGTAAGTTTATTCTTCCTTTCTGTAACTTCCCTTCAAGAGGTATGATAAGACATTCGATGGT